TTGATTAGGATTGTTATTATTCCCTTGGGTTCCCTGGGGAATATACGGCTTCAACAGCACATATCCATTGTACCCTGTTTTTTGCAGTCCTATTTAGCTGGTCACACGATTGCCTATAGTCTCTCATCTCCTCCTCAAACGATCTCCTCCATGTCACCTTCGATCCAATGCCCAGCTCGTTATTTCCCATTCGGGTTTCACACGAGCGAGGAACTAGAGTCTCCATTTGCTTCGGCATACTTGTTGAGCAATAAGTTCTTGATTGATTCGTTGCACTGCAGAGTTTTTGTTCCATAGTTCTCTCTGGCCAGCCATCTGATCTTCAGTATGGAGGCAGTGAAGGTGGCAGTTGTTGATAAAACTCTGCAGCAGGCTGTTGGAAATGCTTTTCGGGAGACTCTGGTCAAGTCTCTGACTCATATAAAACAACTAACTTGACACTGGTGTTGAAAATACCAATTTGATTGTTTCTACTGAGTGGAGAGGGTTTTCAGAGTAATTTCAGAATGATGAAGGCCTGTCTTCCCTTTCCGATCCTGTCAGGTTTCGACATCCTCATTCGTGCTGACTGCCAGTAGTTGGAACAACAGTGTCTGGCCGGATAATTGAAGGAAGTACCATTTTTCAAATTTCTCCTGATGACAGTGACTGATGCTTCCTGTTGTTGTTGTGGGTTGGTTATCTTCATCACCTCTCTCTTCCCTATATTCACCTGTGGTCCTATCTTACCTGCCTGTTTCTTTTGCTCACTTATTGGTTTTCGCTTATATGTCTTCGAGTTCGTGTGATATTAGACATGAGAACAGTGTGCTAAAATACGCAGCAATTTCTGTAAAGGAAAAGAGATCACGTTTAAGTGATGGCGTCATTGAAATGAAGGGGATAAAGATGAACATTTCACGGATCTCTTGCGTCATCATGTTTAGAACATATTTGAATGATGAAAGTACTTGTCTGGAAAAATATCTTCACAGAGATTTGAAAAAACCACATCTCAAAATGATTTCAAGTCTGTAGAATGTGATTTTGGTTATGTAATGTCTGTTAGTTATAAATCTAACCATCATATTAATGTTTTCAATCGTGTTTGGTATCAAATTTGGTTAGTGAAAATAGTGCTATTGTGGATTTCATCAGAAAGGGACACCAGTCAGAGAATTACTGAAAGTGAAGGATCATCGGATGACTGTCTCATCCTAACTTGAAATTATTCATGTTATATCATGAATTAGCCAATAATTATCCAGTTATATTATTATTATTGTTCCCTTGGGTTCCTAGTGGAACATAGGGCTTCAACTGCACGTCTCCACTTGCTTCTGTATTCTACTGTACTTTTCACCTGCATCCATGTTAACCCATACTGTTCCAACTCCTCTTCACACGATCTCCTCCATGTCACCCTTGGAAGTCCCACTCGTCGCTTTCCTTTCGGGTTCCACTCGAGCTATGGTCTGACGCATGATGTCACCCAGCGGTCTCCTCCTTAGCGAGTGTCCAATCCATCTCCACTTTCTCCTGCATATTTGTTGGGCGATTCCCTCTTGTTTTGTTTGTTCTCATAGTTTGTTCTTGGTGATTCTTTCCGGCCATCTGATCTTCAGTATAGAGCGAAGACAGTTGTTGATAAAGGCCTGCAACAGGCTGTTGGAAATATTCTTTGTGACCCGCCAAGTTTCTGATCCGTATAGAAGAACTGACTGACTTGACGTTTGTATTGAAAATCTGAATTTTGTTGTTGATGCTGAGTGACGAAGATTTCCAGATTGGTTTCAGGTTGATGAATGTGTTTCTCGCCTTCCCGATTCTCGATTTGACATGCTCGTCCGTTCCTCGTGTAATTGAGACAATGCTCCCTAGATAAGTGAATGAAGTAACCTCTTTCAAATCCCTCCCGTTGATGGTGATTAGCGGTGGATGTTGCTGCTGCTGTTGTTGTTGTTGGTTAGTTGGTTATTTTCATAACCTCCGTCTTGTCTATGTTCACCCGGAGTCCTGTCTTTGCTGCTTCTTCGACCAGTTTGTCGGTTTTCGCTTGTAAGTCTCCGATTTTGTGTGACATCAATTATAAATCATCCGCAAAGTCCAGGTCTTCCAGGTTCTTCACGTCGGTCCAGGATATCTCTGTCTTCTCGTCTCCCACTGTCTGACGCATAATCCAGTCCACCACAATTAGGGATATCATTGGTGATAATAAGCACCCTTGTCTGACTCGTGTGTTTACTCCGAACGCAATAATTATCCAGTAGTTATACTGAAATATATTCGTTTTTCGAGTTTGACCACGGATTCACTGATATCAGTTAGAGAACCACTGAAAGCCAACAGGGAGCACTGCCAGAGAGCTGTCTCATCCTAGTTCGGGACTCATTGGTAGTAACCACTTACCACTAGGGTTAGAACCCAGCACTTCATGCTCACAAGTAGTGCTCGTATACCATTCAGCTACTGGTACCCGACTCCTCAATGGTCAGCCAGCACATGAATTGCAACTACTACGAATTCGTGATGAGTTTAGCGTTACCACCAACCAATGTCATCTGTTGGAAATCCATCCTCACACTTGACTGGATGGACCTCAATGGTCACGACTTGTCACTAGAACTCCAGGAACCTCAGTCCTGTAGCAAATCACTAGACAGCATCAGATTAATCCGTGGTCAAACTCGCAAAAAAAACAAATCTAATCCTTACAAACTAACTCTTGAAAATGAAATATATTCACCTTCATTACTGAAGATCATATATTAGACGAACTCACCGTTCAAGAATGAAATAACTGTTTCATCCCCATAGGTTTTAATGGCATTTGGTTTGATATAATGTCACAATTAAAACTTCATTGAAACCGATTATTCTCTCACAAACTTTTCAGTATATTACTATTCCCTTGGATTCAGAGTAGAATAAACAGCTTCAAAAGCATATCCCCACTTAGTCCCGTCCTTTACGGCCCCAAGATTGCCCAACCCCTTTCATCTCCCCCAACTCACACGACCTCCTCCATATCACCTACGGACTAAAGCCAAACTCGTTGCATTACATTTGGGTTCCACTGGAGTGATGGCCTGACGTGCGATGTCACCCGACAGTCTCCTCCTCAATGTGTGTCTGATCCGTCTCCATTTCCTTTGTCATATTTATTGCGCAATAGAATTTTTAGTTATTTCTTTCTCAGAATTCCTTTTGACTTATTCTTTCTGACTAGCTATCTGATCTTGAGCATGCAAACAGGCAGGGAAGTTGGTGATAAACGTCTGTAGTCACCTGTTGAAAACGCTTTTTATGACACACACGCAGTGCAAGTTTCTGATTCATCTAGAAGAACTGACTGCCTTGACTTAGCATTGGTGTTGAGAATCCGAATTTTAATGCTTATGCTGCTTTTGTTCAGAAGATACTCAAAATGATTTCAGAGTGATGAAGGTATGACTTACCTTTATCGATTTTTCACTGGTTGCTACATCCGCATCCATGCTGACTGCCTGTGGTTGAAATGACTTTCAAATGTAATCAGTTACAGAATGAATATATACTCATTTTAAAACAATTAGTTCCCTTTATGAATTTAGATAAAGCAATAAGAAGACGTAATTTGTCTGAATCGTGTAATGGCGTATTTGCGCAACACATTTCCAACAATCTGATCACAATACACGGACTTGTCATAGGAATGAATATATATGAAAGTAATAAAGAGTTAAGAGATGAGAAAATAGACTTAGGTCAAGTTAAAAGGACATAGTGAAGGACAAAATAACAATGAAGACCACTAAACCAAATAGCAGAGGTAATAGTACATCTGCTATTGTATCAACACAAAATTTACCAAGGCAGGTGGTTTAGTGTGATGACGGATTGTTGCATTGAACTCATAAAGGTGGTTTAAACTTCCTAATTGATAGCTAGGGCTTCCACGAACTTTAGGATACGCTCTCCTCCAAACACGTTTTATAGATAGGTTTAAAAGATCTGTTAACGCCAATTTTATGTCCTGTCTCTATAATATGTTTCGCAATAGAGGAGCTAGGTCTGCTGTTCTCACCATTAATGGGTTCTGAAGATTCTATTTGTTTTTGGAGCCATTCAGGAATATGCTCTAAAGCCAGGCCTTACTTGCAGAGATCGATGAGTCCTCCCTATATATGTGTGGCCATACGTACATTCAAATTGGTAAATACAGTGAAATGTGACGTCATTTTTCGCATGTTCAAAGAGCTTAGATGGATGGATATATTGACTTCACATTCTCAGTTATATTATGATATTAGCTGTATAAAAAGTCTTTTTAACAGCAGCGTTCAGTCTTTGTCTAGTTATCAAGTTGCTATGATGCCCCATATAGGGTAGCTTGATGTACACGTCTTTCTTAGGGGCGAGTTGTAGAGTGGGTCTTGGTGTTCTGACTACTTTACATCTCCTGATGAACACTTGTCTGGGTAATTATTTATCAACCAGAGTTTGTGTCAACTTTCTTTCTTTTTCATCAAGTGTGTCTTCAGTGCATATTCGTTGGATTCTACTGAAAAGGCACCTTACTTTTGTACCGAACAGGGCAGAAACTCTCGTAATTAAGATACTGTCCTTTCCATGTAAGTTTTCTATGAATAGATCGTTTTATTGATCCATCAATTTAGATTTTCCCGCGAAGTGATTGGACCGAAGTGCTCGGTCTCACGCTGACATGTCGGATCCTTGTACAGATGCTTCGACCATGTCTGGTCATTTAACTTGAAGCAATTTGGTGGGTGGTGACTATCAATGGAATCCAGGATAATGCGAATTTCGTCCTATTTTGGGACAATGGGCACAGTTTTCAAGCCTCGGTGAGAACGCCATCACTCACTGAGGAATGCTGAAACATCCAGTAGCTGACGGGTTCGAAATAGGAGGAAATGCGCATACATGAATATATACTCAGTTTAATTTTTTTTATTTTACAATTTTTATTTACAACATTTTAAACTATTTCTCATTTTATTTTTTTAATTGTATTCCAGGGTAATTTTCAAGGTTATGCATGTCATCGTTGTAAAGACGGTTGGACTGGTGTCAACTGTCGTACACGTAAACCTTTACGCGTACGTCGTAATGTTCTACAAATGTCTATCTCAGAACAAAGAAAATTTCGTGATCGTATAGCCTTAGCTAAGCTGACACCAATGACTGAATGGTTAGTAATCAATATCAGTGATAGTTCAAATGGTGATCCAGTAGGATCAGAAAATTTACAACTGATACAACCACCGTCTATTTATGATTTTTTTGTGTTTATCCATTTATATGCATCAAGAAGTAGTTTGGTTGTCGAGGAGACAAATGGTCCATGGTGTAATCCAAATGAACACAGGTTAGATTTTGCGCATAAAGTAAGTTGACAGTGTTTTAATGTATAAAAGGCGTAGTTAATTTTTATAATAATCAATATTTATTGATGAGTTACGTACGGAGGTATATTTAAATATGTATAAATATCTATTAGCCAGTTTGTACTAATAGAATTCACTTAAAACCTGAAGTGCATATGAATTGATCTTGTTGAATTCTCAGGGGTGAATCCTGATTTCAGTCTGTTCTCCTCAGTATTTTTTCTTTTTGTTTAACCCCACGATTGCTCATAAGCTACCATTTTCTAGTCAGATTTCTTTTATACCAGTCTCAAACCAACGCTCTGCTCGTCGTTTCCCTGATTCCGTTCATGATGTCAATTAATGGTCTTTTCAGAGTATGTTCAATTCACCCTTACTTGTTAGGCAATAGTTTCTCAAGCAAAGTTCAACAATAGTGTCCCAGAAGTGTGAACGTTCCAATGACCTTGAACGCATGCTAGTCGTTGGCTAACAGCACCTGTTATTATCATAGCTGAAATATCAACGCTATTCACCAACTTAGGAGCAAATTTCACCCAGATCACGTTTTTAAGTACTGTTTGGACAATGTGTTAATAGCTCGTTAGGGTTAGGATTGGGGCTAAGGTAAGTATTGGGGTTAGGGTTAGGATCAGTGTTATGATTAGCATTAGGGTTAGAATTACGGTTTGAATAAGGGTTAGGATTTGGGTTAGGAGCAAGGTTAGGTTTAGTGTTAAGGTCAGGATTAAGCTTATGGTTGCGATTAGGGATAGATTTATAGTTGATGTCACTTATTTTGATTTGTTTTGTTATTCACATTTTCCTGGTAAGTAGTCGTCTATACTATTGCTGGAAACCATAATAATTCAACCGAGGGCTTTTTGGAAGACTGCAAGCAGGATGAGAGAGACAAACGATTCACAAAAACAGTTTATCTGTAGTCATCTCGGTGAATACATGTACAGAAACTATTCTAACTTAATAACTGATGTTCCTCGTTACAACTAGGACGTATTTCTAAGCCATGTCAGAGAAAGATAACCTTTTTAGTGCTTTTTCAAGCATTTTCTTGTCAATCTACATCATTTTTTGAGCAAACATTCCTCATTTTTATGATTGGTCAGCTGAGGGTCACATGTGCGTTCTCACTCCTGGGACGCTATTGTTGAACTTTACCGTTTCTCAGTTGGTTTAGCTGTCTATCAAAGCTTCTTGTTGCTTGTCCTTTTCGGTTGGCACTTTTGACCTTCAGTATCGCGCGAAAGCAACTGCTGATGAAGATGCTTTTGGTTATGCACCTGTCACGTTTATGAACTATATAAGGGACATTTTGTTATACAGTCAGCAATAACTTGTATATCAACTCTAGATCATAGTTCTTATTTAGAAGTTAATTAGTGGATGGTGGCTAGCACTGGAATCCAGGACAACGCACATTTCGTCCTATTTCAGACTCGTCAGCTAGAGTGTGTACCTGCATTTCGCAGCGAGTGATGATGTTCCCAACTAGGCTTGAACCAAGTGCCCATAGTTCCAAACGCCAAACCGTTATCCACTAGACCATTTGGGGCACGAGAGTCACTTCTGCACAAAAAGCCTGTATGTCAACCTGAGACCGAGCACTTCGGTCCAATCAATTGACGGGAAAATCTAAAATTCAATAAGTAATATGACCCGTTGCACAACAGGTAGTGGCTCTCGTGGGCCAAGTGGTCTGGTGGATAACGCTTTGACGTTTGAAACTATGGGCACTGGGTTCGAGCCTCCGTAGGAAAGTCGTCACTCACTGGGGAATGCAGGTACATAGGCTAGCCTAAGTGTCCCAAATAGGACGAAATATGGAGCATCCTGGTGAATTCCACTGCTAGTCACCATCCACCTACTGACTTCAAGTTACATTGCCGGACATCATCGAAGCATCTGCACAAGAAGTCGACATTTTAACCTAAGGCCGAACACTTCAGTCCAATCAATCGGTGGGAAAATTTAAAATTGAATTAAATAGTTCTCATTTGTTTAAAAATGTCCATTTTAAATTTTAAAGCACTGCTTACAATTTGTCACAATCAAAATGATGAAGGAAAGGTGGTTGGTGAATACGTAAAGAGTTCCAAAATGGTCACCTTGTTTTAAAGCTAGCGCTGAAAATGTCGTCTTGGAAGACAATTGCGTTTTCGAAACTGAATCATCCAACTCACAGAGAGTGAAAACAATGAAAACATCTATCGTAGCTATAAATGTCCATAACTTCGAATATATATATTTTTTCTATGTGTTAGCTTAAAGAAATAAGCTTCACGTACATTTATACGGAGATCATATAGCATCGGCAGTACTCACCTCCTGTGGTTTGAATCCAGAACCTTCCAGTTACAATGACAGTTTGTTGACCATTCAGCCCCTGGGACGTGATTTAATGACCTTTGAATTCTTACTTCTACTAGTTTGTCGGCCTATGAGCCGGGTCGTAGTAGGTGAATAGTCCACCAGCTTTCCTTGTAAAAGGAAGGTCCTAGGTTCGAACCCCGGTGGGTGAGTACTACTGATGACTCCCGAACTGGGACGAAACAGTTGTCTAGTACTCCTTGATGGCTTTCAGTGGCTCTCTAATTGGTATTAGTCAATCAGTGGTCAAAATTGAGACGAATCCGATGCCTACAAACTAACTCTTGAAGATGGAAACGTTGTCGGTGTTTCGATCTGAATGTTACTTCTCTGGCTAAATTCTAAGAGAACTACATTTTATGACTAATTATCCTCATGTTTTCGCTTTTCGCCGCAAATGTAAATACCGTTAACTTATTTGACATTTCTTTGTATTTTCTAAAAAGGGACCTGCATTTATCACTTGGCATAGAGCATATTTATTATTTTGGGAAAATGAACTTGCTCGTCTAGGTAGAGGTAACAAGAATGCTTCTACTGGTCAAGGAGATGATGATGGTGATGACTTTACACTACCTTATTGGGATTGGACTTCAGCGAATGGTTGTCCAATATGTACAAATGATTTAATTGGAGCACCTGATTTGAATTCGACAACAGGAAGTTTAGATCCAAATAGTGTTTTTTCTCAGTGGATCACATATTGTCCTCAACGTTCTGGAATAAATGATTGTCATGTTTGTGATCCAGGTAAATTGATTTCTTTACAACTTGTATTGATTTGTACTTGTATCAGTTTGTGCCAGTGAGTGAAGCAATGCAACGCTTCAGTGTTATCAATGTTCATTTAGTAAAGTGTACATTGGCTGGTTTGTAAATAGTTCCCTTGTGAAGCCATTACTCTTCGAAAACACTTTATTTTGTTTTTTACGAGTTGATCACGGATTGATATCAGTTAGAGAACCATTGAAAACCACGGAGTACTTGACAGCTGTTTCATCCTACTTTGAGACTCATCGGCAGTGTTGAAACCTAGGACTTTCCAGTTACAAGACAAGCTGATGCACCATTCAGCCATTGGGACCCGATTCAATGGCTCATGAATTCTAACTTCTACCAATTCGTGATGTTGCGCGACCCCAACCAATGTCGTTGGTGGGAACCCCATCCTCACTCCCGACTGGATGGACCTCACTGGTCACGACTTCTCCCTGGAACTCCAGGAAACTCTGTCCTGTAGCAAGTCACCAACTAGTTCACGCTAAATCACGAATTGGTAGAAGTTATAATTCACAGGCCATTGAGTCAGATCCCAGTGGCAGAATGGTGCATGAGCTTGCCTTGTAACCGGAAATTCCTGGGTTTGAACACTGGTGGTGGGTGCGCACTGCCGATGAGTCTCAAAGTAGGATGAAACAGCTGTCCAATACAACGTGGTTTTCAATGGTTCTCTAACCAATGTCAGCTCATGGTGAAATCCTGTAACCAATCAACCAAATCCTGGGTTCGAACCTCGGTGGTGGGTGCGTACTGCCAATGAGTCTCAAAGTAGGATGAAACAGCTGTCCAGTACTCCATGCTGCTTTTCAATGGTTCTCTAACTGATATCAATCCATGCGTGGTCAAACTCGTATAAAAAAAGAAATTTAATCCTTACAAACCAAACTCTTGAATATTTGAAGACATCAAATTCACCACGAGAGAAGAAGAATTAGATAGAAAATATCCCATTTTTAGATGTCTTAATCAAGAGAACTAACACAGAAATTTAGAAACACAAGTATACAGAAAATCAATGCACACAGACAAAATACTATAGACTACAGTAGTAATAACCCAATTACCCCAAAAAAAAACTTTGTGGAGGCATTGTCTAAAAGAGTTCAGACACACTCGAACACTCCAGTGTTCAAGAGAATGGAGGAGAAATACCTACGAACCGTCTTCTAAAAGAACGCAAATCCCCCTCACAATTTCATGAAAAGCGACAGTCACGAAAATGTTTGCTGCCAGGAGACACAGTTCTATCATTCATGGAGAATTTCAATCAGTTCATTTTATGCTAAAAATTTCGCTAAAGATGTTTTCTAGAAGAACGAAGAAAGTTCCGCAATTAAATCAACTAGCCACTGAGAGAACACGACTAATTGCAAATACTCAAGAGTACCTGATCTATCTCTGACATCACTGTAGGATGCAGTTCAGCAATTAGTATTTTCTTAATTTTCTGCAGTTGCATTTGATAACTCGAACTGATGCATCCCTGTGTAAATTGTTCTGTTTTATGCACAGTTAGGTGTAAATTCATCAAAGAAAGTAATCTGCTTACATGTATTCCCCTTTAAGAATTTGAATAAGGCAATGACAACAGTTTGGGCATTCAATAAGATGCTACCATCATTGTTTATTTCGTCAGTTTCTCATCAGCTGTGTATACGGAGAGCCTAAAGTAATTATTAAGTAGTTTATGTACAGAAACAGTTTTAACGTACTTGAAAATGTTACATAATGTCAGTTAATAACAGGAGACTCCAAACTTAATAAACAGTCCTCAGAAAGTACACTTATTTTAAAGCTTTTACCCAGAGAGCTCAAGTTTCAACAACAATTATAAGCGCTTGGTTACACTGGCAAGAGTTACGTAGTAAAGACAAGAGGTGGAGTAAGATGATGACTAATTAGTAAACGGAGTAACAATGTGATGAATTCAACTCAGGTCATAGAAACAAGAGACAAGCTAAGCTGCACTATGTAAAAGGACGGGGAAGGGGTTTAATCTCGAGAGATTGCTAGATCCACAGATGTAGTTGAAGTCCTAGATACATGTTGATGAAGCCGTCATTAGTAGTCTATCCTTGAGTGTCTGTGTGAGTGCTGGTTTAGTTGAGAAACTGAGTACCATTCTAGCTTCGGGGAATTTTCTGCCGTTCGATTTCACTTTTGTTATTTGAGCCATGTTTCCTTTAGACGTCGAGATGTGCTTTTTAAAACGTCCTACAGCTACCCATTTCCTTGCAGTATACACTTCAGTCTACGAATTCCTGTATTCGTGCATTCGTGTGGACATTTACATCTTATTCCATAGTTAAGGCACTTAACTAAATTTCTTTTGTGGATGTGAAAATATGAAAATGGACAGACTGACCAGTCAGAATGCTCTAACTAAAGAAGCTTTCCGTCAAGTATCCACACATCTTTTTGGTGTGGAAAGCACCTTTCTGTTGTCTTCCTTACTAGTGAAGTGAATATTATTGACGACATTCAAATACTTCTTTTTTCTCAAAGTATGTTCCACAAAAACGATGAAAGTTCCATCTACGTATCGACAACAATATGTCAAGCTTGTCAATTGTATTTGAATAAAGCAAGAACAACAGTTTGAGTAGAATAAGATGGTACCATCATTGTTTATTTCGTTGGCTTCTCATCAGCTGCATACAGACAGCCTAAAGAAATTATCAGGTAGTTCATATACAGAACAATTTTAACATACCTACAAATGTTATATGATGTCAGTTAATGACAGGAGGCTACAAACTTGTGTGCATCAGTGGCACAGCTGTTAAGATTCCCGTCGACCATGCACGTGGTCTGGAGTTCGATCCCCCGCCGATGTACACCTGATATCAATGGTCAGCCTGCTAAATTTGGGCGACTGATATCACATGCTGAAAATTCCATACTTGTACCAAAATACTATGTGGACTCAAGCTATAATCAAAGAAACAAACAAACAGACTTAGTAAACAGTGATCAGACAGTTACACTTATATAGTTTGCACCCACAGTAAACAAAAATTACAACATGCCTACAGTGGCAAGGGATTTACGCAGTTACCAAAGGCAAGGAAAGAGTGATAACCGCTTCTTTCTGAACACATAATTTGGATTTCAGGTGCTTGATTGAAAGATGACTTTGGCAAACTTGAGTAGGAATAAACTCTTTTTCCTAGTAATAATTTTAAAACATTTTGCGATATCCATCTCATGACGCGCATCGATGAGGTGCATAGAAATGGCACTGTAAAAGGCATTTGATCCCTTGAGATGTCAGCTTTTCGGTACGCGTTCAGAAACTCCAGGTATCCACGAATATATTTATTTATTCCTTAAACTTGAATTTCGCTTATTTAAGTAGTATGAGTGTGATTTCTGAGTACTGTCTACTAAGTTTAGAGTCTCCTGTCATTAACTGACATCATGTGATATTTGAAAGTGTATTAAAATTGTTCTGTCTATAAGCACAGTTAGTTTCTTTAGGTTCTGTAAGCAACTGATGAGAAGCAAACGAAATAAATAATGGTTCCATTTTATTGTGCACAAACGGTTGCGTTTGCTTTGTTGAAAAAGAGAGATAGTTGATTACAGGATTTCATCATGGGGTGATATTGATTAGGGAACCATTGGAAAACCTGCAGGGAGTACTGGACAGTTGCTTCGTCCTAGTTTGGGACTCTTCATCAGTACGCACTCCCGGGGTTCGAACCCAGGACCTTCTGGTTACAAGGCGAGCTCGTAGACCAATGTCAGCTCATGATGAAATCCTGTAACCAATCAACCAAATCCCTACAAACCAACACTTGAATAGAGATAGTTGAAATTTGGACCTTTCTCTCTGACTGATAGGAACGAAATGTTCGTTCTGTGTTGATATACTGACTCCTAGTGCGGACGCGTCGACTATTTCTTAAGATTTAACTTGAAGGGATTTGGTGGATAGCTACTAGCAGTGTGGAGTCCAGAATACGCATTTCGCCCTATTCGGAGCTCATCATCTGCATGCACCTGCGTTTCCCAGTCAGTGACGATCTTCCCCTTAAGGCTTTAAAGTTTGAAAGGATTGCTATTGGGTTCGAATCTCAGAGGGAACATTATCACTTACTGAGGAATATGGGTACACCCACTAGCTGATGAGTCCCATATAGGACGAAATAGGCATGCTGGATTCCTCTGCCAGTGACCATTCACCACATCGCTTCAAATTAAATCTTCAGACATCGTCGAGGCATCCGAATGTTGAGCCAACATGTCAACAGAGACTAGACATTCCGTTCCAATCAATCAAGTGGAAAGTCTTTAACAAATGGTCTTCATTGCCCTATTGTTTGGTTCCTTGTAATAGGTATATTATGGTCTAGTAATCCTAATCATCCTATGGCTGGTGGTCCTTTATGGAGACTTAGAAGTGATGCTACAAGCTTTTCTTCAATGTTCAATCGTTTACCAAATCAAAATGATGTACTAAGAACACTGGAGACACCAGATTATGATGCATGGCCATATAGAACTGCTGCTGGAAGACGTAGTTTCCGTGATGTACTAGAAGGATTCACTGATCCAAAAATTACACTAGATACCTCTGATATTGGCGGCGATAATCAGAATGTTGTAAACGTGATTGCCGATAAAACAAATCAAACAAATGACACAGTTCCATTGAGTCAAATAAATGCAATTACTAATCAAGTATATATGCACAATCTGGTAGGTGGTGGGCTTGAATTATTCTGTCATGCGATTTGTCTTTTTTCAATATTATTTTGTTGATCTCTGAATTTTAGAGTTGGAATATTATTGCCTCATTGGCCAGCTTAAATTATAGTAATCCAGGAGCGCGAACGCACCAGTGGCCTTGAACGCACGCCATTCATTGGATAACGAGACTTATTGTTGTCATAGCGCGAACTGTGAAAGAAGAGAGGAGCAAATTTCACTCTGATCCCGTTTCTAAGTATTATTTGGACAATGGCTTGACAACTTGATAGGATTACGAGTAGGGTTAAGTTTGGGGTGAACGATAAACCGATCACAAAGTGAACTCATCTTCAGTCACCTCGATGAATACGCGTGTAGAAACTGGTTCAACCTAAAAACTGATACTCCTCCTTTGTTGGTTAAAGAATCCTATGGAGACAATTAAACAAAACAATCCGGTTTATCTAATACTCTGCTGGAATGATTGTCAGGTCAAATACATAGGTCAAAGTAGTAGAACCGAGACAGTTAGTCAGACTACCGGAGCATAGAAAACCTAGCAGAATCTAGATGAGTTGACCAGAATCATACGATAGGATGGGATAAGGTGACAGTTTTAAAATCTAATGTAACAGGGTGGAGGGAGAGATTGATTGATAACGGAGGTTTTATTTATCGAATCAACTGTAAACATGTGTAATAGGAATGATTCAACACCTGTCCACAAGGACATCTGGAAAATTCTACTACCCCTATAACAAAGAGTCAGGAATAAAGAAAACTATAAAACGAAAGACTCAAAGTTGTGTAGTTACAACATACCACTACAGTGCCAAAGTTTTGCACATACTGCTTGAAGGATTTCATCCTGAGCTGATATCAGTTAGAGAACCATTGGAAAACCAACAGGGAGTACTGGACAGCCAGCTATTTTTCCCCGTCCTAGTTTGGGACTCTTCAACAGTACGCACCCATCGGGGTTTGGATGGATGATATACCAATTCGTCTCGTAACCTGAAGGCTCTGGGTTCGATCCTTGATGGGTTACATGACTGTGTACTGATGAAGAGTCCCGGATAAGTAAGAAAAAGCTGTGCAGTACTCTATGGTGGCGCTCCAGTGGTTCTCTAACAGTAATAATCAAATCACTAAATCTGGTGTTGTTTAATAGTGATGCGAAAAAAATGCTATTATGCTGGTTCCCCGTAATCTAGTTTTTGGAAATAAAATTTCCTAAGATCAGGTCAAGTTAATCATTGACTTCTCAGACTTTTGTAGTGCATCTTTCATGGCACTAAAATAAACCTAAGGCTAAGATATAAATAGATCACTCTGAATAAACTTAATACTGACTAAATAAACTTCTAGCTTGCCTGTGGATGTTCCAAGTTTTGTTTTAGCGGATAAGCATCCAACACGGCTCGGACACCAGTTTGGACTTCTCCTTTGTGCTGATAACACACACACACACATCCTTAAATTTAGTAATTCGGCAACAATACCCAGAGAGGTTCTAAAATTTTCCCCATAAAATCCCTAAATTCTATTCGATTCAAATAAACTGTAACGACAGAAGACAAGAGTCAAGCAACAGATCGTTTATTCAGAAAATCAAGAGATATTTATACATTTTTATGTACATTATTACTCGTTATTGTTAGCAGAGAAACACCGTCTTCTGATTGATTGTTTTCTCACTGAAGGTTATTCTGTCATCTCTTCGTTGCCGTTTCTTAGAAAGTCAGGCCATATATCTGCGAATCGTATCCGCCCACGCTAACTCTGCTGTGATTGGTTATTGAGTTAGTCTTCGTTTTTGTTTGTTTTTTCTCATGACCAAGATTTAGGACGTAAACATTGATGTAAATTGCTGTCTACCAATTTTGGTTAGTAGACAGCTCTCACCACAATTCTACTCATCAGAGCACAGTGCTAAACGACTGAGTCTTTTTGGTTTTTGATTTGTTATCAGCATTTAAAAGTAAGGTAGTGAGAAACTGGGAACACAACACAACCATTTCTTCAGTTCATCTGCTTTTGTGGATTAAAATGCCTCGAGCATAGCCAAAGAACACTTTCTATATGGATGCCAAAGCTCATTCCAGCGTGGTTTTATACGGGGGAAAGTTCTATTCTAGCACAGCTCTTCTGGCAGTACAATTATACACATATATATGGTCAAGAAAAGGAAAATGTCTAGACCAGCATCTTTTAGATATATTCTAACAGCTTCAGCAATAATTGTAACAGATGAACACTTGAGGTGGAAATAAGATTAGTCGGTGTATGACAGATAAGTTTGAAAGCCGCCTTGTTAACATCAGTTTTATGTTCTGTATCCACGAGATAAGGTAGAATAGAACTGTGAATGGACGTTGTTTGTCCCTTACTTAACCACTATGCAATAGGGTGTTCGGAAATCCGACGATAAGCACGCCTAATTGGACGGTCTATGTAACTGGCCGCACAGCATGAGTCAAACTGATAGATACACGCATATCAGGCAAAATTAGGTAGTTTGTCTTTAATTCCCGAACGTAAAATAGGGGTGATTTTGAAGAGACAGCGTACTTTAGCGGTACTAAATGATTTTGATGTGGTTGTGTTCTCTGAGCTGGATAGTTAATTTGCGAAGCTTTCATCGCCTTGCTAGGTGACATCTTCAGCAAATACTTCAATTTGTTGAAGTGAGCTTTTAGATTTCTCCACGAGTTTATTAATCATCTCTCCTGGTGGTTCACCTTGTACGCGATTGGTTGTTTTGTGTGTTTTCACACTCTCTAGGCCGCTACTTGTATTCGAACTGATTGTTTCTTTGACTTGAACTTCGACCCTTTGTGTGTTTGTGAGGTTTCTTTCTTATCGGCTGATAAACTTTGTCTATCTCGATGTGTCTATTGATTGATGATTCACTGGAATACCAGGCTGGCTTCTAAAAATTCTCTAGAATTCTTGGTGTCTCCTCTGTCTAATATTTAAACGTTATCCCAGTCGTATTGCTTTCCATGGTTGTCTGTATGTAGTGATATGAGGGAGTGGATGTCATGTCTTTTGACGGCTAGCTTATGTTCGTGGATACGAATACAAAGGGGGCGTCCACTTTGGCCAATGTAGTGTTTTTCGCAGTCATTACAATTTATTTTGTATCTTCTTTCGCTGTTGAGTCTATTGGTTGACATAGAATTGAGTGAAGTGATTTTGTTGGTTTGTGTGCGACGTCAATTCCTAAAGGTTTCAAGAGTCTTGCAGTGATTTCTGATATATCCTTTATATATGGTAGGGCGACTTTCTTTGTGCTTTCCTTGGGGGCTTTTGCTTTGATAGGTTGGCTTGGGGGTATATGTCTTTTGATGAAATTCCGTGGATATCCATTCTTTTGGAAGACGTCCATGAGATATCTTTCTTCAATTTTCCTAAAGGTGGCAGTGCTGCAATGAGTCCTGGCCCTCTTGAATGAATGCTCTCTTTACCACACTCTTTGTGTTATTATTTCACTAGTGTTATCACCGAGGTACTGAAGTTTTGAGAACAAGGCCTCCCTTCTTCGAGACTGTTGGTACTTTGGCTTGCCTTGAATTTTGATTTATATTCTTATCGATGAATTTTTTTGCGTAACCGTTCTGACTCAACAACTGTTTATTGATATTAAGCTCTTCATTAGGACATTCATCAGAGCAGATTGCTTTTGCTCTGCCGACAGAACAGTCTAATAGATTGCAATTGTATTTCAAAAGGTACGAAGTTGAAGAAATGAGAATACTGACCAGTTGATGTAGGTTTTCTATATACACTTCTTCTTATTGTACCGTCACATCTTTTCTAGTCCTAAGGACACCACTTAGACCTGGTTTTCATAAACGACCGTGATGTATATGAAACCCGAAGGAGAGCTCCTTTGCTAAACTCTGATCACTGCATTATTCGTATTTTACCGAAAGTGTACGGCAAGTTACAACAAAAATCGTTTAGTCATTCAACAAAGAAGATACATGAACGTTCATATTCCCATGACAACATTCTAGCACTAAGAAGCATGTTGTATGATACCAACTGGGAACTATTTACTGACGATAAGTTGGATGCTACTGTCTCTAATATAACCGATTATCTGAAGTTTTGTTTGGATATTTGCTGTCCATTTGAAACATTGTTTTCGAGATTTGACAGAATCTCTTCTTTGCAGCTGAAAAAACTTAGAAGACAAAAACAGAAGTTGCATAAGAATTGTGATAATACTGGTGTCCGTAAAATAAACACCCTTATAAAAATTGAAATAGAAAGGTTGAACAGACTATATAATGAAAAATTTTTATCATGTAAAAATCCTTCGAACATTTGGAAACTTTTCACTAAACTTACAAGTAAGAAACAAATGTCTGTTGATGCTTATTCTGATGTTAATGCTTTAAACAAATCATTTATCACGAAACAAATTAATATGGTTGTACCTGATGTACCTAGTCAAGATAATTCTCATTTTCCGGGTTTTAAAGAAAAGGATGTACTATTATGTTTGAAATCTTTAAATCCAACACACAGCCTTGGTCCAGATGTTGTACCAGGCATTCTTCTTCAAAAGTGTGCAGACATCTTGTGTCATCCTCTTACTCAAATCTTTAATGTATCATTTAACAAGGAAACGGTACCTGCTGACTGGAAAGAAATCAAGGTTGTACCTGTACAGAAATCATCTTCTGGAGCGGGTATAAAGTTTAGACCGGTCGCTATAACATCTCCTTTTTTGAAAACTATGGAGAAACTTCTTTTGAACATTCTTAAACCTTCTTTAAAAGCTTTTAGTGACCCTAAGCAGTTTGCTTATAAGTGTGGAAGAAGTACATTAGATGCAGCCATTGTACTACACCACAATATTGTTTCCTGCCTTGATAAGGGTGCTAAGTTCGTTCGAACAGCTTTTTTAGACTATACTGCAGCTTTTGACTCTGTTCCTAGGACACTTTTATTAGGAAAGATGATTTCAGCACAAACAGAGTCCTGGGCAACTAGATGGCTGTCTTCTTATTTTAAGGATAGGAAACAGCATACTGTTTTGGCTGGAAAGCGATCCACTTCTCAGCTAACTGAAAGTGGTGTGCCTCAAGGTGCAGTACTTTCTCCATTTCTTTTCTCTTTCTTTTTGCATGACCTTCCGAACTCACCCAAAGTTAACTTCATTAAGTATGCTGATGATCTGACCGTTTCTGTCCCCGTAGTTTCCACATCGGATTTTTCCCATATGAATGGCTTCTTAGCTGAAGTTAAGGATTGGTCTGGCTCAAATGGTCTTAAACTAAATCCGACTAAATGTAATACTGTTGATTTCAGCTTGAGAAGTGAAAAAGACATGCATAGATTGATCCAATCTCATGATTGTTGTAATATTGATGGTACCATGATAGAGAGTAAGTCAAGTGTTTCTTATCTTGGCATTAGTTTCTCTTCAAACCTTTGCTGGTCGTCTCATATTCTTATAGTTTCTAAGAAAGTTTTCCGTCTGACTTATTACATAAAGAAGTTGAGGCACTCAGGTATAACCCAATCTCTTCTCATACAATTTATTAATTCATGTGTTTTGCCCATCATTCTTTATTGTTCTCCATTATTTTTCCCTGGGCTACTCAAGAAAGACCATATAATACTACGAAGAACATTGAGAGCTGTAAGTAGGGTCAGTGCTATCCCTTTGACTCAACTAACTGACACTGTTGTCAATAGGCATATGAATTCTTGTAAACACTTAGCTAAAGTTATCTTGTCTGATAGTGAACATCCTCTTTATTCACAATTGTTTCCTTGCATCTCTTCGGGTAAGACCAGAAGAAATTTCATAAACAGTTATGCTCGTAATACAAAATATAAAAATTCGACCGTACCATATTTGGCACGAGTATTGTGTGAAGAGATGAATATCAGAAAAGAACTTTTACAACTTTTAAATCATTAACTAAACTATAAAATGCAATGATGCATATTATTGCATGTGTGATTTGTTATATTATTTATTTATTATTCACTATGTCCTAGCAATGGTGTGATTTTGTTGGGTTTTATTATTTTTTCCTTTTAATTATCAATATTTTTAACATTTCATACATTTATATAATTATAAGCAGAGCTAAACCAATGCAATATGTAAAATGAAACGCTGAAAATTCCATGCTGTAAATTGTTATTGTTGTGGAATAAAGTGACTATTATTATTATTATTAAAATAATGATTTTGAAAATATTCATCGAATTCGTGAAGTTTTGTCACACTGTCTTCATTTATAACTGCTAAAAAATAGCGGAGGCCCTAACTTAACATGAATTTTAACCGGATCTTTGTGTACAAAAGAAGTACATACAGCCCCTGTTTAGTTCTGCTTTGGCCTTAGGTTAGCAAAACTGAATCACATAGAGGTTTTAACTTGAAAATGTTACACATTTTTCAAGTCTGCGTATGTATTCATTTGGGAGATGTTGACTAGCAATAGAATTCAGGATTCGTATTTCGTCCTACTTGGGACTCGTCAGCTAGTGGATGTAACTGCATTCCCCTGTGAGTGACGGCCTACCCCCCCTTAGGCTCACTCGAACGCAGTACCCATCGTTTCAAACGTCAAAGCGTTATCCACTAGACCACTTGGGCCGTGAGAGACACCTCATGGGCAACGGGTATCAGCATCCGCACAAGGAGGCGATATGTCAACAGGGGCCGAACATGTCGCTTCAATCAATTAACTGGAAAATGAAAATCGAATTAAAAAGAAATATTTATAAATGTATGTTTGTCACCGGGCCTCGTGATCAAACCACGACGGGTCTCCTGAAGAATGATACAAGTACAAACTAATTTAAGATTTCGACGGACATGTCCTCTGATTTCCAGCTTTCTTTGTATTAATTATCCAGATACTTGTTTTTATTATCATTTAAAGTAAGTGATTACTTTAATATTCTTAAAATAATAATTCACATTTAGGTTCATAGTTATATGAATGGATCATGGTTCGATGTTTCAACAAGTCCAAACGACCCGCTGTTTTTATTACATCATACATTTGTTGATAAACTGTTTGAACTATGGTATAGAAAGTATCGACCAAGTCTTGATCAAGTAGGTTATAGTAATAACTGCATTTTTTTGGTTTTTTTAAAAATTTATTATTTATAATTAAACATATTAAGAATTGCCGTATGATGTAATTAACCAAAAATAAGTTGACAAAGAGATCTCCTCTTTTCGTAACTTTACTCTGAAACCGTACAGCTATTTGCCGAGGTTGTATATACAGTATTAATTGGCAACAGAGGTCAGAGGTTATTGCATATGAGTAATGATAATGTTTGAAAAATCAAGTATAACCTTGTAAGGACAGAAGACAAAGGTCAGGCAACAGATCGTTTATTGAGGAAATCAACAGATATTTATCGATTTCTATGTACATTATTATTCGTTATTGTTAACAGAGAAACAGTGCCTTCTGATTGGTTGTTATCCTGCTGAAGGTTATTCTGTCATCTGTTTGTTGCTGTTTCTTAGAAAGTTAGGCCATATGTCTGCGAATCGTATTTACACACTTTAAGTCTGCTGTGATTGGTTGGTGAGTTCCCCAAGGTTAAGCTGTGTTATTGTTTTTTCTCATGACCCCGATTCAGGAAGTAAACATTGACGTAAATTGCTGTCTACAATTTTGGCTTGTTGACAGCTTTCACCACAATCTTATGTAATTATTAGGGTTGACAACTAATTAATTAATACTAGATGGTTGGAGGCAATCGGCCACAGGAAGCCTTCGACACCTAAGTTTCGTGCTAGTTGATACTCACCAGTCAGAAAGGCGTATCTGCAATCCTGAAGAAACCCAGGTCGCCTACTCGCATCACCCAGTGAGCGCTATAGTCCGAGACGTTACCACAACTGAGCTAGCTATTCTGCCTCATGATTGACCTCCTGTAGGACTATATTGGATATTTTTTATCAGAGACTAGTTAGTAACTAGTGTGATGTGTCTAATCCTTTGTTTAGTGCAGACTGAATTCTATCAGTCAGGTTTTCGATGTGGCCACCATTCTAGGTGGCTTGCCATCACGAAACCTAGGTCCAAGGCTTCCTGCCGATTGCCTCCAGCCATCTAATATCAATAATTCAAAGTGCACCGTGATGGCGAGCTACCCAGAATTGTGGTCACATCGCAAACCTGACTGATAGAATTCAGTCTGCATTAAACAAAGTACTAGACAAATCACACTAATTGCTAACTAGTGTCCAATCAAGTGTGCTCAAAACTGAAACAAATCGAATCCCTACAAACTAATTAACTCTTGAGAATTAATCTGATACTCTCTAGGAACTTGGTACAGTAGGCACTTCTCTCAGGTCCTAGTGAGAAATCATGACCAGTGGATTCCATCAGATCAGGAATGAGAACAAATACTCGCCATCGATGATTTTGACTGCTGGTCACGCCAACATCACAAATTGGTAGAATTCATGTGTTGATCATTGAAGGAGTCGTCGCCTAGTGGATGAACAGTATACGAGTTTTCCTAGTGACCGGGACATCGTGGGTTCGAACCCTAGCGGTAGGTGCAAATGGTTGATGAGTTCCAAACTGGGACGAAACAGCTGTCCAGTACTTCCTGCTGATTTTCAATGGTTCTCTAAATGATATGTCAACTTGTGATTAAACCTGTAGCAACACTTGATATTTACAATTTATCTGTGATCAGTAAAAGTCACTCAGTTAAGAACAGTTACTTCTCGTAAGATTTAGATATGATTGAGAAGATTTGTAGCTCAGGTGGATGATTTTTATGTGGTTGTGTTCTCTGAGCTGGATAGTGGTTTATTTGCGAAGCTTTCATCGCCCACCATACTAGGCGACATCTTCAGCTCATACTTCAAATTGCTGAAGTGAGATCTTAGATTTCTCCACGAGTTTATTAGTCATCTCTCTTAGTGGGTGACCTTGAACATCGTGATTGGTTGTTCTTGTGTGTTTTCATACCTTCTAGGCTACTTGAACTTTGACCCTTCGTGTGTGTGTGTATGTGAGGCTTCTTTCTTATCGGTTGACAAATTTTGTCGATCTCTATTTGTCTATTGATTCATGATTCACTGAAATACCAGGCAGGCTTCCACAAATTCTGTAGCATTCTTGTTGTTTCCTCTGTGTAATATTTGAATGTTGGTTTTCCTAGTGGAATTGACCCCCGTGTTTTTCGCGGTTACCACAATTTAACAATAATTTGCCAAAGTGGACGTCCTCTTCGTGTTCGTATCCACGATCATAAACTAGCCGTCAAAAGACATGACAAACGGTCCCTCATATCACTACATACAGACAAACACAGGGGTCAATTCCACTAGGACAACCAACATTCAAATATTACACAGAGGAAACAACAAGAATGCTACAGAATTTGTGGAAGCCTGCCTGGTATTTCAGTGAATCATGAATCAATAGACAAATAGAGATCGACAAAATTTGTCAACCGATAAGAAAGAAGCCTCACATACACACACACACGAAGGGTCAAAGTTCAAGTAGCCTAGAAGGTATGAAAACACACAAGAACAACCAATCACGATGTTCAAGGTCACCCACTAAGAGAGATGACTAATAAACTCGTGGAGAAATCTAAGATCTCACTTCAGCAATTTGAAGTATGAGCTGAAGATGTCGCCTAGTATGGTGGGCGATGAAAGCTTCGCAAATAAACCACTATCCAGCTCAGAGAGCACAACCACATGAAAAACAGTTACTTCTTATTAATTAATGTATTATAAAATGGAAGAACTTTATCTTGGATTGTAAAAAGTTGTGTTATTGTGTTCCGATTGGATGACTAAACAGTCAAGTGTTTCGTTGAAAACCACTCACTGAAGTCCTCAAATGAAACTGTCTGTTCTAGAATCTATCCCCATACAGTGAAATTGCCCAAATAAGAGGTAAGCAACCTTATTACTAACAACATCAATGCTTTAAATTACATTTGAATCAACAGTATCTACAGGTGATGACTACATTTCAGAAGCATCAGTAAGATAGGGAGAGACAGTATGCATTAATGTAACACTAAACTGAGTGAATATCAGATAAATTAAGGGAAGTAACACACTGAATTTATGAATTTACAAGCTTGATGGCAGTTCAGAGTAGAAAGAGCGGCTGGACCTGGTTCTTCTGCACACAGAGCTCCTGCTGATTTAGGCGAATTGCATCATCCTCTTCTGTTTGGAGTGTTCGATATTTAGCAGCTGGGTGAAAACACGATTGAATAACTTGAACAATTGAGGTGACTGATTGTTTTCACTCAATAAAACTCCCAAAATGGATATATCTAAATGGTAATCGAACCTCTGCAATTCAAACATTTAGCTCAGTGGATGCAACAACACAAAACTATTGTGGCGTGTAATACTGATAAGATTTATCAGTAGGATATACATAGAGAGATGTTCATCGGCATAAAACAACATCAAATAGCAGGGAGATACACTTGATGTCAGAGAAAGCAAATGATACAGAGTTGTGGAGATACATGGGAGACGTGAAAGTAACACGGAGAAACACAATGTCAAGGAAGGGGCAGAAATAGCGCAACACTGAAGATCTGTGCAAATGGTGCGTTGCAGATAAGGTGTACATAATTTGGCTATATAGAGATAATCTAAACTCCAGATATGTGTTATTAGACCTCGGTTTGAGCACCTTCTTCTCGTGACCCCGTAATTGTATCCTAGAGGGAGATAAAAGGTTTGAAAGGTCAATCCCTAAATCACCCTTCAATATATGGTAAGTCAAAATCAAGTCGCCTCTCCTCCTCCGGTATGATAATGGGAAGAGATTCAAATGCTCCATTCTCATATCATAAAGAAGGTGTGAGATACCACTAAATAATTTCGTTCCTACCCTCTGTACTCTTTCCAGGGTATGTGCCTCTTTTTTGAAAAATGAACCCACCGCTTGTATGCAGTACTTTAGATGAGGCCTGACATATGTTGCATAGAGTACTTTCAGAATGCCTTCGTCCAATCGTTTGAAAGCCCTTCAAAGTGCCCATAGCATTCGAAAAGCCTTAGCTGCGGCTCGATTACAATATGCCGTTGTTTTTAAGTCATGGCTAACAATAATTCCTAAGTCCTTTTGTTCCCTAACATCTGGCAATTCTGTGTCCCCCATGGAGTACGACGTGTAAGACTTCTGACCTAGGTGCATTACCGTGCTTTTCTTGGAATTAATTTCCAGACTCCAAAGGTTAGCCCATTCAGCTAATTTTCTAGATCGTTTTGTAGTACCGACCTATCATCGCTACTATTTACGGTTTTCCATATCTTAATATCGTCCGCAAATAATAAGGAAGATGAGGTAAGAATTTTCGGCACTTCATTTACGTATAATAGGAATAGCAGGGGGCCAAGTACAGTTCCATGAGGTACTCCACTTAGTACTGCTTTCCACCCTGACAGTACACCATTAACCCTTACCTTCTGCCTCCTATCCATCAGGTGGTCACTAAACCACTCATATAAGCGTTGTTCTAATCCAAAATGTTTAATTTTACTAAGAAGACCTAAATGGGATACCTTATCGAATGCTTTACTAAGATCGATAAATAGAACGTCCAGTAGATGGTTTTTATCCCTGGCCTCGACCCAATCTTCCCTAGCTAACAGTAAGTTTGTCAAGCAGGATCGTCCTGGTCGGAATCCATGCTGTTCCGCTGCCAGTAAGCCATATTTTTCCTTATGAGCTAAGAGCTGATGCCTTATGAGTTTTTCTAACACCTTTGCTATAATGCAGGTCAGACTTACAGGTGGGCAGTTAGATACTAACTTTTTTGCAAGCAAGACTATTAGGTTAAACAGCTACACTGATCACTATCCAGTAAAATGATGACCTCAAATTTACAAATTTATACTTTATAAGTGTATATTACATATTATTAAATCATTTAATCGATATTCTTTGGTCGATAATAAGGCTTAATGAACAAAAATTTAAATTCGCTTAAATCAGACGATATTGTATATCAGTCATATAAAAACTTTACTATACATGGATTCTAACAAACACAATACTGATGTTTCACTGATTTGTATGAATTACG